TCGAACTGTGAGCTGTCTGTCTTGATCCGTAGTTTGACGGTGTGCCACTGTGTGGAGACATCCCCCACCTTGATGTTCATCGGCTCACAGTTGAACATGAAACCTTCCGAGTCAGCCGGCTTAAAGCCGGGGGGCTGGTAGTCAGAGGGGGTCACTAGGGAGGGGGGTGAGGGGGGTTAGGTGTGCAAGAGGGGGTTGCTTGGATTTGTAGTTAAAGGAATGTTGCTTATAATGTGCTCTGAAGTAGGAATGCATACAAGGGAATGAAAGGGGTAAGAAAGGAAAAAAACACACAAATATTTTAGTGTTTCAAGCATATACATGTACATGTTAACATAGCAATACAATCACATTCCAGTCATGACTTGCCATACAGTCATGCTTAGATACAGTTCTCACATTTAAGCCTGATATACAAACAATACATCTACTATTGAATAACAGTCAAACTTGTACTAGTGACCACCTCTACAAATGACTAGTTTTTGGTCCCTTGGACAATTTTTCCATTGACACATAATGGACCACCTGTCCACAAAGGGTTTTACTGTTCCCAAAATGTCTTCTTGGGCACTTTTGACAGTACTTCTAAATCCAGGCGAACAGATCTGTAGCCTACCATCATCGTAGTAGAGTAGCTTCATGGTCATCATGACATCATCAGGCAGAGCCTTGAGAGACTGAGTCAGGACCACGATGGTCCTCAGCAGTTGCATGGTGGCTTTCTTTGTCTCTGCTGCGCTGTAGGCTGATGCCAGCTGCTTGTCATTCCTGTCAAGCAAACCATGGATACATACATACAGTTAGTTTATGCATTGCCAATACCCAAACCTCTGCTTGGAGAATAGATAGAGTTAGCACCACGGTGGTCCTCAGCATGTGGCCTTCTTTGTCTCTGCTGCACTGTAGGTTGATGCCAGCTGCTTATAATTCCTGGCAATCAAACCATGGATACATACATACAGTTAGTCTATGCATTAGTTTAACAGCATGTTGTCAGAATGTACTGCGCTTGCTTTTGTGGAACCTGTAATGTATTGTGGCAGAACTTTGGCAGAATGTCTCGTTTAAAGTTGTACTTAAGATGACATCCCTTCTATAGTTTCCAAATGTTGTGTCAAGGAAGATATTGTCGGCAACAGGCAAAATTCTGATGCAACGTTGACACAACATCCAACAAAACCGTTGGTTCTGGACATTAGCTGTAACAAGGCCATGACATACCTGTAGATGGTAACACCCTGGTTGTTGTAGGCAAACTTGAAAGTGTAGGATTCAATCACAGTCTGAAAAAAAAAACAGTTGTTCTCTTGATTATTTACATGTTTACAAGTATCCTAGAATTATAACATAAATAAAGACCAATCAGCACCAAGGACAGATGAAATGCAAACCAATCAGCACCAAAGACAGGTACTATACAGTCCAATCAGCACCAAGGACAGGTACTATATAGACCAATCAGCAACAAGGACAAGTACTATACAGACCAATCAGCACCAAGGACAGGGTTTAAACTCACCTCAGGATCTGTAGGGTCTTCATAAATCTATGTAAATAGAATGAAAAGTTGGAAATCAGTTCAAAGTAATAGGCATAATTTGGTACTAGACAAAAACAAAATTAGCATGATATATTTCAGAAACCAACATATGCCACCAGGCAATACTTACTAAAACATTTCAAATAGGTTTGTTGATTCAACTGAGCATAAATGGTTTGCACACTTACCCCGATGATCAGGCACCGCAGCTATTAAAGAAAAAAAAAAAGGTAAAATACGTCAAGATAATAAACTTAGGTTGGTCTTCAATATCACCAATGAATGAGACTTTTCAAAAAAAGTTCTAAAAGCATTGAAATGATGTTTAACCAAGGATCAACTCACATATTTCTTGTCCAGTGCGTCAAAGCAGCCCTTAACCCTGTAAAGGAAAAAAGATTGTTTCTTCATCATTAGACTAGCTGCAGCAAAGGTATGCAATATTGATTTTTTTAATGACAATTTGTAAATTGTAAATTGATCATTGCTGTAATAATGAAAGATTTTCTTACCACTTGATGACCTGGCAGGCTCCAGGGCAAGCACTGTCATCTCGAAGGATCTTCAAGTTCAAGTCTGGATAAAGTTGTGTGAAATAATTTCCTTTAGTTTAATGTTCAACATGCTCAAAGTTTCCTTAATGAAGGATTTTTATACCATAGAAAACAGTAGTTCCACCAGTCCATATACAATTGTATGTACTATGATATACTCTATTAGTCAACTACTGAGTAAAGTTATAACATCAACTTCTTCATGTGACTTTCCCATAATGATAATATCATTCTGTATACTGTACATCGTTATACAAGATTCTTTGTGCTTGACTATTTTCTTTTAACAGTTATTCACCTAATATGTACATAGAGTTATGAGATTTTAGTGATATGTACCTTCTAGGCACCTGTCCCCAAAGGCATGTTCAGGAAAGATCATACGAAGGTAGGTTATGTTGGAGACGGCAACAGCCAGAAGTTTCTTCACAAACAGAGTGGAGAGTTGCTCTGTCACTTGGTCTGTTGGGAAGATTGCATTCCACTGTGGAAATAAGAACAGGAACATAGTATTACTCATTATATGGGAAATGCCTAGCCACTTAAAAACATTCTTATTTCTAATTTTGTAGCTATACACTTATTGTTGTATAATTAAGTAACATTATGACTGGCCATACTTACTAAGGAAGAAAATTCATAAAGTTGAAATCACATTTTATGACAGTTAATTACTAAAAAGGGGAGCAATTAAAAATACTACTAGTATGTATGTTGTTCAACTTTCTGACTAGACTGTGTAAAGTTTTAAAGTTCGAAAATGTTGAGTTGACTCACATTCCCAGTCTTTTCTTGAGACCTCATCTTGGTTGCTACTGCCATGGCTAAAGTCTGGGGATGGCCTGGAAAGGGACACTTATATTATAATTATGACAGCTACCACTGAATATAATATTTGTAATACTAATAGTTTACTTACTAATGCCACTAATATCGTATAGTAACAAACACTGATGATGAATTCTTTCTAGACTTGTGTCAATTCTTCCTGGGCTCATAACATGCATACAATACGAAATAAAGATGATGGTAACTTACTGTTTAGCATAATTTTGAAATGCCTAAAACTACAAAGCGAAAGCATCTTCGTGCCTCCTGGCTTGGTTTTCGTCGGAAAACATCACACTACGCCACTACACTTCACCACAAAGACTCTTGGCTCCCTTACCTGAAGTCTTAAGACTGTTGGGCGTCCTTAAGAAGGGGTTTGAAGACTTTTATCTGGCTAGACGGCACCGTAAGACACGTCACACCTTCCTTCTTTGACAGAGACTGAGTGTGTGTTCGTTTCCCGCCAAACTTCAAAATATTATTAGAGCGATACCATTTCCTGAGAGGGACAACATTAAAACAGCTCAAGAAGTTGTTTTATCCCAGTATCTAAGCTATTTTTTGCTGTATTAGATATGGAATAGTCACTTTTGTATTGCTAAATTCATGCTTAAAAGTTAATATCTTTCAATGTTATAAATTATTAATTGCAAATAGCTTCCCTTTTTAGTATGTGTACCATTCCATCAAGATCATCCAACATCCCAACTCTTTACCTGATGATATCTCAAACCCAACTCCGTATCTAAGTATTTTATAACCCGATATTCCGCTATTTTCACACAGAATATACTTCATCTATTGTGTATAGTATTTCGACAGACGTATATTTGATATTCGGCCCGTATCTGCAAATATTTGCTCAGATCAGACGACAGAAAAGAGATGCCATGACGTCACGTAGCTGGTGGGACATCCGGGACCTCTCGCCTTGCCTGGGTCATGTGACCCAAAATGGTGGACAGATTGGGTGAGTACTTTGGAATACCCTCATCTCCCAGCAATTTTGACCCATTTGTAGCTAAACCTAATGTGTCTGAGGAGCTTTGGCCACTTAATTATAGCTTTTAGACATCGGGGGATCGTTTCTGATTGGTTTTGATGGCTCGAGCGTCGTACTTTTCTCGCGTCGCGCCGAAGTTTGAAGTTGACACCTGATTTTTCTTGACTTGGCTGTTCTGTCAGTGGCGTTTGGTGGGCGTCGTTCGGAGTCAAATGTCGGAAACGCGTGGGATTGGTAGTTTCCGTATAGACTGTGACTTCACCAAAACAATCTCTCAATCACGGAAGTTTCTTCTTCCTAGAATAACAGGTCTCGATCTGATAGAAAATTTATGTAGGCCTCGTAAATATATTTGTCTACGATCAGTCTACGATCGTTACTTGTTAATTAGTTTAACTGGAAGATAGACTACTTGAGTAACGATTACGGTCTCTAATTTATGACATGTCTCATGTTATTTGACTTGTCGACCATTCACAAAGAGAACTATCGGTTTTTGAAAGCAGTCAGTGACTTCAGTCCCCCTGCATGGACTCTTTGTTTTGGGCAACTCTGTGTTTCTGTCTGATTTTAAACCAGGAAACAGAAATTTCATTTTCCAATATGTATATAAACTTTGTCTTTGAATCATAATTTGAACTGGGAAAAATCTATTGATATGATCACTGTTTTGTTAACTTTATTTATTGGTAGGTATTGCCAACTACCAAACATGTTAAACACCTTTTGCCTTCTGCTCCCTGGCTTTATGTCATGGATTGCTGATCACTTGTCTAACGTTAAGATCTAAGTTAGAAGAACCTTGATGATGTATGGTCTGTAATGTTGAGTATTGTTTGTTGTTCCACAGTGCACAGCGAGGCGAATGCCAGGAGAATAGCTCAGGTGGAGACCTGCTTTGGCGGCTCTGGGCAGGTATGCAACTAATGTTTTACTTATATAGAAAAAAATTAGAAAACATGAACAATTCTAATGCACCAAGAGTGAATCCTGGATAGTGAGTGAGTGAATGAGTGAGAGACAATTGACTCAGAATTGAACC